TTTCCCATTCTCTCTTTCCCTTTTCCTCCTCCCTTTTCCTCCTCCCTTTCCCTTTTCCCCTTTTCCCTTTTCCCCTTTCCCTTTTCCCTTCCCCTTTTTCCTTTTCCCTTTTTTCCCCTTTTCCCTTCCCCCTCCCCCTTTTTCCTTTTCCTTTTTCCCTTCCTCCTTCCCCTTTCTCTCTTCCTTTCCCCCTTCCCATTTTTCCCTTCCCCTTTCCTTTTTCCCTTCTCCCTTTTTCCCTTCCCTCTTTTCCCATCCCCCCTTTCCCTTTCCCTTCCCCTTTTTCCTTTCCTCTTTCTTCTCCCTTTCCCATTTCTCCCTTCCCTTCCCTTTTCCCCTTTCCCTCTTTCCTTTTCCCGTTTTCTCCTTCCCTTTTCCCCTTTCTCCCTTCCCTCTTTTCCCATCCCCTTTTCCCTTTTCCCTCCCCAGATCTCTCCAGCAGCGCCCTGGGGCCGATCTCCCCTTCCTTTCCCTTCTCCCTTCCCCCTTTTCCCTTTCCATTTCCCTTTTCCCTTCCCTTTTCCACTTTCCCATCCCCTTTTCCCTTCTCCCCTTTCCCTTCTCCCCTTTCCCTTCTCCCCCCTTTTTCCTCTTCCTTCCCTTTTCCCTTCCCCTTTTCCCTTCTCCCTTCCCGTTTTCCTCTCCCTTCCCTTTTCCCCTTTCCCTTCCCCTTCCCCCTTTGCTTTTCCTCTTCCCCTTCCCTTTTTCCTTTTCCCTTCCCCCTTTCCTTTTCCTCTTCCCCTTTCCCTTCTCCTTTTTCTCTTTCCTTTTCCCTTTCCGCTTCTGCCTTCCTCTTTCCCCTTTTCTCCTTTTCCTTTTCCTCTTCCCCTTCCCTTTTCCCCTTTCCCTTCCCCTTTCCTTTTCCTCTTTCCCCTTCCCTTTCCCCCTTTGCTTTTCCTCTTCCCCCTTCCCTTTTCCCCTTCCCCTTCCCCCTTTCCTTTTCCTCTTCCCCTTTCCTTTTCCCCTTTCCCTTCCCCTTTCCTTTTCCTCTTTCCCCTTCCCTTTTTCCTTTTCCTTTCTCCATTCCCCTTCCCCTTTCCCTTTTCCCCCCTCCCCTTCCCTCCTCCTTCCCCCCTTTCCCTTTATCCCATTTCCCTCATTTCCCCTCTCATTCCCCCCTTCATTTCCCTCTTCATTTCCCTTCATTCCCCCCTTCATTTCCTTTTCATTTCCCCTTTAATTCCCCCTTATTTTTCCTTCATTTCCCCCCTCATTTCCCCCCTTTATTTCCCTTCATTTTCCCCATTTCCCCCCTTCATTTCCCCCCCTCATTTCCCATTTTCCCCCCATTTCCCCCTTCATTTCCCCCCTTTATTTCCCCTCTTATTTCCATTTCTCCCTTCATTCCCTCTTCATTTCCTCCCATTTCCCTCATTCATTTCCTCATTTCCCCCTTTCCTTTCCACTCATTTCCCCTCTCATTTTCCCTCATTTCCCCCATTCATTTCCCCCCTTCCTTTCCCCTCATTTCCCCCCTTAATTTCCTCATTCCCCTTCATTTCCCCCATTTTCCCCCCTCATTTCCCCCCTTCCTTTCCCCCCTCATTTCCCTTTATCTCCCCTCTCACCCGGATCTCTCCATCAGCATCTCCCTTCCCATCCTCTCCCGGCTCAGGTTCCAGAGCAGCGCCCCGAGCTCCTCCGGCGGCCGCTCCGCCCTCAGGGCCGGCAGCAGCGCCTCGGCCCCGGGCCCCAGCGCCCTCAGCACCGCCGGCCCCGCTCCCGGAGCCCGGCACAGGTTGGCCAACACCCCGCAGGCCCCTCCGGAGCTCGCCAGAAGCGGCACCAGAGAAGGGAGCGCGGCCAGGAGCGGCTCCAGCGCCGCGGCCTCGGAGGACGCGTTCACCAACGCGCCCAAGGCGGCCGCGGATCCACGCGAGGCCGAGGCTGCCAAGGCCGCTAAGGCCTCGGGGTGTCCCGCCAGCATCGCCCGGCCCGAGGCGCTGCCGGAAAGGGCCAGAGCGGCTTCGGCCGCGGCGGGAGCGGCGGGGGAGGACGGGGAGAGCAGCGCCGTCAGCTCCGACAGAGCCGCGGCCGCCGCCGCCTCCTCGCTCTTGGGCTCCGCCATCGTCTCCGCCATCATGGCCGCGCTGGGGGAGATTGATAGGTGTAACAGCCAATCAGGGGAGATTGATAGGTGTATCATCCAATCGGCGACTCGGAAACCGCGGATGGGCGGTAAATCAGCCAATGGGGTGCGGGCTTGCTGGCGGAAAGGGCGGGATTAAGGGAGAAAGGGGTTGTGGGAAGGAAGGCTGTACGGAAAACCGCCGTACGGACACACGGACACGGCCGCGGCCGAGCCAAGGTTTATTTAAGCCACGAAAGCTCAGAAAGCGCCGCTGTCATCCCGGTTATGGCCGCCCGCGGGGTTTCGCCGGGCAGAGTCGGCTCCTCCACGGCCGCCGCCATGGCGGGATCAACATAGCGGCGTCGCTAGGTAATCCGCTATGATTGACGATTCCAAGAACCAATCAGCGACGAGAAAACGGAAAGGTGGAAAGAATGAGCCAATTGGGTGCTGAGACAGGCCGGAATAGGCGGGGCTTAAAGAGAAGGGGATTGTGGGAAGGCAAAATTGTGCGGAGAACGCAGTGCGGCGCCTCAGTCGCCGTCGCTTGGCAACCAGCTTGATTGACAGTTCCAAGATCCAATCAAGAAAGAGAAAACAGCGAGGCGGAGTGGCTCAGCCAATGGAAAGCCGAGTTCTGCCAGAAGGGGAGGGACGTGTGGGAGTGTGTACGGAAAGAGGCGGAAGCGCCGCGGAGCCGCCGGGAACCGGACCGGGATCGTCGGGATCGGAATTTTCGGGATTATCGGGATAATCGGGATCGAGGAGAGGGCCCAGAGCCCTCCAGGCTCAGCCGGGGATGTTCCACGGCATCGCGGGCCCGGCCGGGATGGGCGGTGAGAGGCGGCAGCAATCCCGGAATTGCCGTGATGGGATCCCTTGGGATGATCCCGGAATTCCCGGGATGGAATTCCCGATTTTCCTCCCTTTTAACCCTTCCCTTTCTCCCACAGCAGCGCCTGGGAATAAACCGGAGCTTTACGAGGTGAGTGCGGGTCGGGAATAGCCGGGAATGGCCGGAAATGACCGGGGGTCTCCGGAAATGGCCGAGGATGACCGGAAATGGCCGAAGATACCCGGAAATGCCCTGGCGTCTCCGGAAATGGCCGAAGATGACCGGAAATAGCCGGAAATGCCCGAAGATGACCGGGAATGACCCCTGGAAATTTGGGAATTTTGGGAATATCCAGGAATTTCGGGAATTTTGTGTCTGCTCTTCCCGCAGGAGGTGAAGCTCTACAAGAACGCCCGGGAGAGGGAGAAGTGAGTGAGGGAATTTTTGGGAATTTTTGGGAATTTTGGGATGGGGATGGAGGCGTTTGGGGTTGGGATTTAATCCCAGTCGGTTCCAGTCCATCCAAATCCATCCCAGTCTCTCCCAGTATCCCATTATCCCATCCCAGTCCATCCCAGTCCATCCCAGTATCCCATCCCAGTTAATCCCAGTCTATCCAAATGCATTCAGATCATCCCACTCCATCCCAGTCCATCCCAGTCCATCCCAGTCCATCCCAGTATCCCATCCCAGTCCATCCCAGTATCCCGTTATCCCATCCCAGTCCATTCCAGTCCATCCCAGTATCCCATTATCCCATCCCAGTCCATCCCAGTCCATCCCAGTATCCCGTTATTCCCGTTATTCCGGAATATTCCCAACGATTCCCGCCATTCCCGAACCTTACCAAATATTCCTAAATATTCTCTCAATTTCCAAATATTCCTGAATATTCCCAAATATCCAAAAAAAAAAAAATCCCCAAAATTCCTAAAAATTCCCAAAAACTCTGTCCACTCCCAAATACGCCCAAATATTCCC